TAATTTTCTGAGATTGTGGATTTGGGGTTTTCATGAGCTGTAAGCCATAATCATCACAGTTATGACACATCATGGCTTGAACTATCTTGCTTTGCATGTAATGAGTCTATCTCATATATTAGGTTCACCTTTTAAGTTGCATTACTGAAATAAATGAACTTTTGCACGATATTCTAATTTTTCGAGTTTCACCTGTATGACATAGAACAAGGGACATGGAAAATGCCTAGAACAGCATATGGAATGATCTAATATAACCAAAGACAGGTAATCCTATACTGTATTTATATACATGTCCATATGAATAGGTGTATGTATAAAATGAAGATGCTAAAATGCTGGATAGCTTCTGCCTTTTGGGATCAACTATTAGTAATAGAGGAAATTCCTAGTTAAATACTGTATTCTATGGAGTAACACTTAGTAGGGAAGCAACAAGGGTGCAAGCAAAGATATTCAGATGTTGTGATATATTTATATGTAGAACTGTAACTTAAATATTTTAGGATGGGAGAGTTAGTATATAAGAAGAGACAGCTCATATGGTGGGGCTGTAACTGCTTTTTCAGTTATTTCTCTGCTAATCTTTGCATAGTTACGTTCTGCATCTTTTTTTCAGTCTTTTTAAACCAATTTTGCTCAATGCCACTGAATTTGATTTCCTTATTTATTCCTAAAACATCAAAAATGGAGAATTTATCACAGCTCGTAACATGACCCCATAAAAGTGACAGGAAATTTGACAAGATACATTTTAGGAAAAAACAACTAATCAGGCCTTTCTAGTTGGGTCAGGCAAGAGGCATACTAAAAGAACCACTCATGAATCATCTTGGTTGCATTAGCCAGAACTGAAATGTCTCTGAGCATGCCTGTTTACAACCTATTGCTTCTACATGCCTCATTAAATAAAATTTACCAGGAGGAAAACATGCCTTTCAAGTTGTTAGGGGTGAAGACCCTGTCACAAAGCGTACTGCCCTCGATATCTCTGCATACATATCTTCCTAATGACACAAGTCAATCAAATTAAGAAAAAGATAAAAATAATTCATGTGCAGGCATATATACACACTCTAGCTGGTCACAAAAAGAGAGAGAGGAATTTGCAGACTTATAACTGTTGCTTCTCTTAAAACTCCTTTACGGGTTCATCTAGGTAAGATTTAAATGCATATGAGTGTGGGCTTAGATTTAAATGTAAAGATTTAGGATTTATGTATTGGTATGTGTTATTAAAGTCTTCTTCTAATTCTTTGCATTACTTCAATATTTTATTTATTTAGAATATTTTATACTTTTTCTTAATGTCTTACTGAAGTGCATTTGTTTATATGGGTAGTAAGTAAGTCTCGTATCTAAACCAGTAGTCCCCAGTTCATCAGAACTCATAGTAAGCTTCTCATGTGATGTAAGACGTCTTGCTATGAGGCTAATCCAGAGAACATCCTGCATCTTTTAGGAACATTATCAAAGGGACGCTTTGGGTGATGTACTGCCCCCTGAACCTGGCAGCATCATATTAGAAGTACCCAAAGGGTATTATACAAAAAATCAATATAATGGTCCTGACAGTGTGATTAAAGTTTCATGTTATATGTTAAAATGTGTGGAGCTTCAAGTGCACCCCTGGGACTGTTATTTTGAGTATTTTTTTAAAAAAAAACCTCATGCCCTGTGAACATGACTGACTCTAGAAATAATTAGATTCAGAACATAAAATGCCACAATTAAGTAGCAATCAATAACTTATAATATAACTTTGCGTGATAGTATAAAAATTTAGAAGTTGCGTTTATTTGGTTTCTCTCAGTGTAAGCACTCAAGGCAATTAAGACAAAATTAACCCACTACAAATAGTAAATATAGGAAAACAATACATTAAAACTAATATAAAATTATAGTTCACATAGCCTTAATATTATACTATCATGTACTATATTATGATACATTTTGCCCTTATTGATAACAGAAAGCTGAAGTACAGATAGTCCTCGACTTACAACACTTCGTTTAATGACCGTTCAAAGTTACAATGGTATTGAAAAAGTCACTTATGACTCTTTTTCACAGAGAGGTGACAGATACTCTGATCCAGCCAAGTATGGGGAAAGGAAGGCAATGGGAACCCCCATGATTTCTCTTCTGAAGAAACCTGTGATCCAGAAATTGTAGGGTGAGTCACTGCATGATTTGGGGGAGAGTGCTAATTTCTTTTTAAAATTCAAAACAAAACTGAAACAGGTCACAGCAGGCAGACTAGCCTCAGTTTCATCCTGTGAACTTGGTTATGAGCTAAAAAGTTTTCATTCATTGATCCTAGCATTTATTTTCTTTATATCACAGCACCTATATAACTTTAAAAAAAACACAGAAAAAAAACCAAAAATAAAACTAAATTTTATAATGGTATGGGGGGGAGGGAGGAGTAAATTAGCTTTCCACTATCTGGCATTCTCAAATGTGTTAAGACTTTCTAATTCTAAGCTGATGGTCATGCATAATTGAAGAGTATCAGAAAATGGAAGGTTGAACTGACTGATAAGAATTTTTGCAACATAAATTGGCAAACATAAAAATGCCTAATCAAGCAATGCAAAAACTTAGCCCCTCTTTTTTTAAAGTTGTTCTCTTCTCAAAAAC